CTATGTTTGCTCCACAAAATGGCCGTTATCTTCGGCAGCCATTTTGTGTTCGTTCGTTCGTTTGTGTCATTGGTTAGATTACTGATACATGGACGGAATTATTGATGAAGTAAGTTTAAAAATGCTCTTGAATTTAAAATATGTTTTGACATAACGCAAACAAATCATGTATAAGAATACACACAATTGTAAATATTGGTACATCACGTAGGTAACATACCTTCTTTACTTTATCTTTTATATTTTCAGTTAAAAAGAAAATGTTTATTACGGAGATTTATATCTAATTTTCCATACCAAGTCATTATGTCTTACATACTAAAATTCCTACTTATCTATACTTCCCTGACAATTAGAAGTGCTGTCTTAAAAAACAATTTGTTGTATATAAATGTGTAGACACGGTGCTGTTCTGAGTGCAACGCGAATTAATGACTTATATTTCATATTTGAACTCGGATCTAACTAAATAAAAGTAGTAAAAGACAAAATCCATTTATAGGGGTAATAAAAAGAACATTATATCCTGCAAATATTTCCATTCGAAGTCTATTCAAACAATCTTCCATTGCTCTTTTGAGTACACAAGAAGATTCCACAGTAAGTTGCCGACTCCGTGGAGCTCTCTGCAAATACGGTCACAATATTTTAACTTTCGCTTTAAAAATCATAGACAAACGAAAGGTTCAGTCGTACTTAAGCTTCTAAGCTCTGAAGGAGGTTGTATTCTATGTTTTAGTTTAATGGCTTCTTAAGATCTCAGTTTTACCGACGTCTCATGTTAAATATACAGTGGAAAGCTTTAGACATTTGTACAACATTTTTAACTATTTACAGCGTTTTTCGAGATCATTCTAACGGGTTTTAGGTAACGAAGACGAAATTGGTTTACATTAGACTTTTTTTTAGAAAATGAATGAATCTTTCCAATCATTGAATGTAGTTACACAGCTCTACATTGAAATAAGAAAATTTCTTAAAGTTTTTTGACTTTGAATTTGACCATTTATGCAGCGACTAAGTATATTCTAGCTACGAGTTTGACTAAAAGCACAGTTTTAGTCCATAAAAACGAAGATGAACCGAACGTTCGGCCGAAATCCGTTTTAACTTCATTTATAATATGAACAATTCGCCCAACCGAACCGGACCGGAATTAAAAACAGCTTCATAGAAGCAAAATAAAGCAGTTTACCAAGAATACACAATACAGTAAACTGGGACATTTTAATTGCAGGGATTGTAATACCAATTGTGGCGAGGCATAGCGACGGGATGCGAGCTGCAAAACAAATAAGATAGTTTTAAAACAGCTGCAGCATGTGCTTTACGTTGACTAACATTTGTAGTCTTTTTGGATCCTACATTCCAAGCGAGCTGGCAACTGTTCGGGACAGTTAACTGTTTGCCATTGTCGACCGGGCGCATTGAATACCGCAAGAAACAAACTAAGAAATGGTAACGGAATGGGAATTCAATACAAACAAACAGAAATATAAAGGTATACACAACCATTTATTCCACTGGTACATTTCGAATGAAGACATTTTAACACGTCTTATGTTGAAGCTTAATTGTAAATGTACAAAAGAAATTTTAAGACACAAGCAGGATTCAAAAGTACGACCAACCGTGCCGCTTAGTAAGTTAACGTTTATATCGAAATTTTACACGAAAAGTGCACGTATAGGTTAAGAGATTATATACGTAATTATAGACGGAACAATGCATCTACTCATACTAAGATTATAACGATTTAATCGTACCGCTTTAGATCTATAATAGATCGCCTCTGTAGCTAAATTGTAAAACGTGCTGCATTAATCGCGAGATGTCCTAGGTTCAAATCACAAGGTAGGGCATAGATATCTGGTCACCTACTTGCCTATAAGACCACCTCTGTAGCCAAATGGTTGAACATATTGCCTAGCATCGCGCGAGAGGTCCTGGGTTCGAGTCCGAGGGAAACAAAAAATTGTTTCGGTCGGGCAGGGCACAGAAATCTGATTAACTACTTGCCTGTTAAAGAATGGATCATTGAAACGGACACAGAAATGTGTTCGCCCCATGCCCCACTTCATTACTTTTAACTTGCCTATAAAATAAATAGAAATAGGGTGTTTGTCCCTTTTCCCACGGGGAGAAACGGAATTTCAATTTTATGTTCTAAATACGAAAGTACAATAGATATTTTAAAACGGCCAGTATGTACCAGCTGTGCCGCAACAGCTCGCTTCGGCAGTTTACTTGTTGCGGTATTTAGCGTCCGATGTTATCTACATAATGCGGTCGTCACTGACAGTCGCGCGATACTTCACCTCATTACTATGGATTTACATTTTAACCAACGCCATAATACCGCTTGTTTGCTGAAAATTAATTTACTACCCAATTAGCCTTCATTAAATTTATGGTAAATAAAAGTGATCAATGTGCGAATTTAAATGCGGTGTATTATTAAGTTATTTACGCCGCGCGTAATTTTGCATAAATTAATTTACGGTATTCATCATCAATGACTATATTGCCCCTTGTAGTCCTAGTGGGTCCTAGTATCCTCTCGTCGCTTCCGCCATCGCGATCTATCCTGTGCTTCATCTACAGTTTTGGACCAGCCACGGAGCCTCGGTCTCCGGCTTTTGTTTTCCACCCGGTTGAGAGAGTTCAGCAAGGACCTTCATGCTCTTTCATACGCCATTCCATGCACCTGTCTTATCCATTTGAGGTTGTTGCTTTTAATAAGTTGGACGATATTAGGGTCATCAAGGACTTTGTTGTAGACAAGGCCAAAGATTTTTTGAAGTATCTTTCTTTAAAAGACTAGACCTCGTTCGTCTTTTTTGCTCTATGCCCAAGTTTTGGATGCAATTAAGTATAGGCAGCTACAGGATTGCGTGCACCTTCTCTGAATTTTTCGTTAAGATTATTTTTTTTTCACTTTTGCTAGGATTTCGAGCAGTTCAGCTGTCGTAATTGAAAAATTGTTCTCGACGCTATCACGAGTGGTTGTCATCATCAGATGTTAAGTTTTCCTCGACTAAAAAGAAGAAGTAATCAGCCGATTTCAATTTATACATCTTACACGCCTTAAAATCATCCGCGTGCAATTCTATTTATATTTTTAATGATGAAATATATTAACGTTACAATGTCTTGGATGTTAAATCGACCATTTAATAGCCAGCGAGTGCAATTATATTAATTGCGTTCAATTCCTTTATTGAGATGCAACATGGAGTGTCGGCAAAATTAATACGTCCTTAAATATGAGGTCATAGGTCGGCAGATAAAGTAATATATCAAGCACAGCCCTGTTGTTTGAAATAAATGGCTCTTCACAGTTCGTTAGATAGTCAAACAAAGGCTTCATTAGCGCTTTAATGGCCACAGTATTTAGCTGTTCTTATTCGTCTTTGTAAATTTTATTAATTTGTAGCCGAATATTTTTAGCTTCATAAAAATATAATCGGTTTCGGTTCTGTATCGAGCACTAGTATTAAAAGTACTTGATTCGGTAACGTGTGTCCTTGCCACAAGTTTCACTTTGTCTCACTAGTATATTCGTATACATATTTAAATAAAATACTTATTACTCAAGTAGTTATTAACTTATAGGTAACATACGAATTTATTACATCAGCTCTCATATATGTTTTAGTAAGAGAAGATATAAATAATAATAAAATTATAAGTGAAAAAAAGAAGTCTAATTTTTTATTTAATGTCATAAAGCTTACATAGACCGAATTTCGGGTTCGGTTTAAACCGGTGTAGTATAGAAAACATTGCGCTATTTTGAGATAAGTTATACATTAATAAATATATATGAATGTGGAAATATTTGTTGGACGGGCTCGTTGGTGAAATGGTAGCATTGTATGGCTAGACTGACCAAAGGATCGTGGGTCCAATGCCCACCGGGTCCAATATATTTCTTCTGAAACATGTTGGATAATAAATGGATTGTAGAAATATGGAAATTTCGGACGGGTCACACACCACCCTTCATTTCGCAATTCAGTTCAGAGAAGCAGTTAAGTTTAATCGCGTTTTTTTTTCAGTCTGTGGATTTCAGAATATCCAATATCAAAATATATCGACAGTGCATCTTTTTTTAGATTTGAAATGGTTCACAGAATGAATATGCTTGTCTCTGTTACTCTATTATATAAAAAAAAATATTTCGAAAACGTTTTTCTCATAACTACCTACCAACTTTCAAGCGCGCGACGTAAAAGTGGTGATAAACGTGTTATCAAAAAACTAATAATAATAGACAAACAGGTAATAAGGTATAATTTAAATAATTGTCCCTCTTTTGGGCCATCGTGTTAATAACGAAACTTTTAAAAAGATATCGGTTTGTCGAAGTTTAATATGGTAAGTAGTGGTGTTGTTAGAAAGGGTCCCTTCCAGTCACGACACGTTGCGTGTTCCTCCTGCCAATAATCACTTGTAGTTCCTATTAGATAAACTAGCTTTAAATCGCGACTTTGCCCGCCTAGAGAAGTGATTCTGTAATTTATTAAAAAATAGATGTATTCTACTTTATCTACTTTTGTCAACTTCGCGTACTGTTATTGCTTTTTGACCGCCTCTGTAGCTAAATGGTTAAACGTGTAGCATTGTGTTAAACGCAAGAGGTTCGAACCCTGGGTTCGAACTCCAAGGATTCAATAGATTGCTTCGCTCTAGCAGGGCACAGAAGTTTGATAAACTACTTGCCGACCTATTTTACCATCAGTGTAACAGACACAGGAATGTGTTTGCCCCATGCTCCGCGGCGGAAAACGGGATTTCAGTTAAATTTGTGTATTTATTTTTAATTTAAAATATTCTTGACAAGTAAGATTTTATCAGTTTTGAAAAATAAAATGTTGCGTATTTTATCTAAGAGACAATTCTGTACCAACTGTATATATGTATCTAATGTAAGGTTCCTTACATCTGTGTAAAAATTATGTTTAAAAGCTTGACTAAACGTTTCTCTTTTGTTTCAGATCACATCAGAGAGTTCGCGTGTGGTACCCTTTTTTACCGTTCGTTATACATAAGTGAGGAAAGAAACACCCTCTACGTCGGCGCTATGTAAGTTTTCCTTATTATGACTGCTTGAAAAGTTAACAGACGTAACCTTTTACGTCAAACTAGGTAAAATCGACCGATAATTATAATTGTATTCGCCTTGGAAATGTACAACTAATGAAAATATGAAATTATATATTCAATAAAAGGTAGATTCACATCACCAGTAACTTTGGAGCCATATTGTTACATACCAATTAGGAAAAAAGGACAACAGCATCCAATAATTGCTGAGTTCATAACTCTACTTATAAATAAGTTTGAAATATGTAATCTGCCAAGCTTGAACCGGCATCACAGCGTTACATGCTGCTCTACCAATTTGGGTAGGACACGGCAGCTAAATTGGTTAGAGCACCACGGACCATAAGTCATAATTATATTATTATTCTATTAATAATGTAAAATACTTATAACTATTAATACTACTGTCTATAGTTTACGCGAGTAGTACACATATAAATAAAACACTTTAACGGTTTAAAACGCGATATATTAGTTAAACTTATTTGAAAATTATTTTTAACTTCGGTCCGAAGTTTTGTTCCGCGAAGCTGCTGTTTTAAACCGTTAAAGTGTTTTGTTTAAACTGCTAGTACTGTTAATTTAACAAAAATATTGCCTAAAAACTTAATAAGCATTGGAAAATGTATCTACGAATCACGAGGGTAAGTTTTGTCAGATATAAATGAAATTATCAATCACAATATTGTTTAGCCTGAGTCAGTAGGCAGGGTGATTTACCGGAATCGTAATAATTTGCTCAGCCAAGAAACCCAGGGGAAATGGGGGCGAGACATGAACGACAATTATCCACAATTTGCTTCAAAAACGATTGTTTGCTTCCTTATTATATACTTACATTAATTATTAGGTAGTAACTACGTACCCCAAGGTACATATACCTCGTATAATTGAATAGGAATAATTGAAACATAAGCTTTTATAGTAAGACATGTTTATAACTGAAATTCAGTTTTGAATAATTAAAAATAGTTGTGAACTCCATGAAATTGAATTTTAGTGATCAATATTTATCAATGTATATTTTTCTTGACGGAATTGTTTTGAATGCGATCATTGAATTAAAAGTTAAAAAGAAAATTGTTTTAACATAAAGTCTTAAATTATTAAAATCCGTGTGTGCTTCTTCTTCTTCTTCTTTCTCTTACGTTCTACGTTTTTAACTTTTGTTTGTTTCAGGGACCGAATTTTTAAACTTAACTTGACAGATATAAGCCAATCACACTGTGAGGTTAGTATATTTTATAATCTATTTATAAAATAAACATTCGAGTTATTTTAGTTATTCAGTAAAACTTATATATAGCCCGTATAGAATAAAATACTTCACTCATACTCACCTATTTTAAAATCCTTGTAGGGTCTCTTATGACATATCCAATTGAATTAGCTTTGATGCAAATACAACTTGCATTTTAAACTATACATAATGAGTTACGGCATTCTACGCCCTAAATTTGTGAATTTGTAGGAATCTAAATTTAGATTTCTTTATTCATAATTTAAATTTTATTCACATTCGAACTTACATAAATATGCAACTATTATGTGAAATCTCGTTTCCTTCTGTGAGGCAAAGTGGCAACGCATCTCTGTATTCTTTTCTGTTAGTATGATCGATGGTCACACAGTCATAGATGATATAGATATTATAATACAAGGAGAACGGAACGGCAACATGGGTAGGACAAAGATTTTCAGAAAAGAAATTTTATTGCGGTTACTTAAGTACAGTATCTCTGATCGTTTTTTTATTAAAAAGAAAGTGGTTCACCTACCTTTATTCATGCAAACATTCTGTGCCCTTGTAGTTCTAATCAATGTATCTTTCATCCGGATTCAAATCCAGGAGATCTCTTGGCCTCATATTCTAGAAGCGATAATACCTTTTCAAGGAAGCCTCAGGCGATGTTGCTAATACGCCTGACGATTTCAGAGAGATGCGTTATTGCTGGAAGCGAGTAATGTAGCACGTTGTGTGAGCAAAGGAAAATCGGAGCCGTTCGAATGCAGAAACCACATACGGGTGCTACAGCCGTTAGGTGATGGAGAACGCTTGTACGTGTGCGGTACAAACGCTCATAGCCCCAAAGACTGGGTGGTCTACGTAAGTTACTTTTGCCTCTAACATTACTCCGTGTTTTGTAAGCCACGATATTAAATATCAAGGCTGCGGTAACGTTCCAACGGTCATTTGCGGCTTAGTTTCTTAAGCGTAGTATAAACAAGTAAATTATAACTCTTACGCAACTTTTTGCGAGTATATTATGTAACGAGAACGTAAATATAATAGTTAACTCTCGCGTCCCGTTGCGGTTATTAACTCTCGCCATACAGTGAATGTATATGGTATGTTCTGCACAGTTAAATCTAACGCACCTACCGCGGCACGAATACGTGCCAGGAGTGGGCCTCGGTGTGGCCAAGTGCCCCTATGACCCGGCGGACAACAGCACTGCAGTGTGGGTCACGAGGGGCAACCCCGGCGGCCTGCCAGCTCTTTACGCCGGGACAAATGCCGAGTTCACTAAAGCGGATCCAGTCATTTTCCGAAATGACCTATTCGATTTTCGGACGGGTCAGAAGAGATTCAACTTCAAGAGGACGCTGAAGTACGACTCCAAATGGTTAGACAGTAAGTGCCTTTTGTTATATCGCAGAGAATGCAATCAGTTCATACGATATTGAGGGTACAAAAGCGACGTGTTAAAGATTCTGGTTTAGCGAGGCTCGATTGTAACTCACAGTTTCGTAATTAACCCACAAAATGCTTTGTGAATTCATGATCTGCAAGGACATTTAGTCCGTGATTGCCTATCTAAATTTCCAATTTATTTCAGAAACCAATTTTGTGGGGTCGTTCGACGTTGGGGAGTACGTTTTGTTCTTTTTTCGGGAAACTGCCGTGGAGTTCATGAACTGTGGTAAAGCTGTGTATTCTCGTGTGGCGAGAGTGTGCAAACAGGACACCGGGGGGAAGCACATACTGAGCCAAAATTGGGCTACTTACTTAAAAGCCAGGCTCAACTGTAGCATACCTGGCGAGTTTCCCTTCTACTTCGATGAAATACGTAAGTTATTCACTTTTGAACTACAAAAATAATATAACTTTAAAGTTGCGAAGAGTGAGTTTACTGCTCTTTTCTTAAACTACGAACGGTTTTAAATTGACTTTTCTTATATTGCTATAGAGAAGTTTAGCATAGTGTGTTTTTAACTGCAAGCAAATATAACTTTTGCGAGTGTTATAATTTTAAACAACAATGGTCTACCTTACTTTTAACTAGAGCAGAATTGTGCAAAGTTGAATCGTTATTGTAGTACTGATAAATCTATTAACAGCTGTGTTATTGATATAGAAAGCGTGTACCAAATGCCGGGTGATCCGAGTAAATTCTACGCCGCGTTCACGACTGGCGCCAGTGACGGCCTGGTCGGTTCAGCTATTTGCACTTACACGATGGAAGATATCCAAGAAGCTTTCGCTGGGAGGTTCAAAGAACAAGTAAGTCTGTAGTTACCCTAGTGGTGCACATTGGGTATTTTACTTGTAAAAACTTAAAATATGAAATATATTTGTTAATTTAGTTTTTTGATGTCAACGTTTTGGATGCTTTATATTATACCAGCAGCATTGTTTAATAAAAAACTTACTTTTCTCTTTGGTTTTTAAAATTTAAAAGGATGTGTCAAAAGTCTACACGGGTGGTCTATACTTTGTATCTATTTAAAAATCAACAACTATATTGAAAATAAAGAGCACATTAATTATTTATGTATTAATTATATACATAGTAAATAATTCATGTAAATGAATAAGTTGCTAAATCAATTAATGCTACTTTTACAAGGATTCTTTTCAGTTTTATTTCATTTTTCTATATTGACGGGGTGTGATAATAATCGATATTAAAAATAAAGCATGCTATCACTATTAGGCAACATCAAGTTCAGCCTGGTTACCAGTCCTGCGTGCCAGAGTGCCGGAACCGCGACCAGGCACGTGTGTCAACAACACCGAGGCCCTTCCTGATAACGTGCTTAACTTTATCAGGTAATTTAATAACGTTACTCGTTATTTATGTGCTATCAAATTTATCATTCTATAGTTTTTCAGAAATGAAGTGTTAAAAATGTTATTAATAAGTAAGGCTCAGATATTTTAACTTGACGGGTTCGTTGGTGTAATGGTAGCGACCTATGGCTAATAATGACGGGTCGGGGGGTTCGATCGCCACCGGGTCCAACATTTTTCAAATTCATTTATAACTTTTCTGAAACACGTTGGACTTAGGTAGTAGAAATATCGATATTCCGTCCGGGTCACGGACCACTGTCCACACATGAAAAAGCCGTGAGTTGAATCGCGTCTTGACGTTAATCTGTAGATTTCGGAATATCCAAAGCCAATATAGGTCCATAGCACATCGTCTTTAGGTATAATATGGCTGAATTATTTCACCTACCATCAAGTAAACATTATGCTTGTCTGACCACCTCTATCGAAAAAAAATTATAACTCCAATTATTTTTCTACCAGATCGCATCCTTTAATGGATTCAGCAGTAAGGCATGACGGTGATACTCCTCCCTTCTACAAACGTGACCTAGTCCTTACTACCTTAGTTGTAGACCGGCAGACGGTTGATATGCTAGCTGAAGATATCACGTACACCGTCTTCTATGCAGGAACAAGTAAGCTATAGATTTATTTCATCTCTGCTTCATTCTTCTTTTGCTAATGGGTTGAAATATACCGAGTAACGAAATATATTGTCAATTCTCATTAAGTAATTAAAAGCAATATTCGTTCCCAATAAGACTTCTCTTATCTAGAAAATTTGAATTTGTAACAGGGCAATGAAAAATTGTGTATATTATCAGTTACAGTTCTAGATTTTTTTACCATTTTTATACAATACATGGAAGGTTTGAAAATAATTCGTTGTTATTATACTCAATAATGTATTTATACTTAAAAGTGATGTTTCCTTCAATTTTAAAAAAATCTTACACGAGTTGTTTGTAATATTGTAATTTAATTTCGTATTTAAGTTTCCATATTCTTATATTTTATTTACTTTATAGTAATGCTGTCTATCTACCTTTAATTTAAATACATAATCGTCCCATAATTTTATAATAAGTTTCATTAAAATACTTTAACGGTATAAAACACGATATATATAAGTTCATACTTATTTAAAAATTATTTTTGACTTCGGCATGACGTCGTGCCAACAAGTTCAACTAATATATTTCGCGTTCTAAGCCGTTAAAGTGTTTTATTTAAATGCGTACTACTGGCGTAACAGAGAGTATATATAAATAAATATTATTTTTCTTCATTATTTCTATCTGAAGTTAAAAGAATCGATCTACATCAGTTGAACGGCCGCAGTTGTTTGTTTTAGTCTGTGTATTATAATCTGAGTTAATTGAATTAGGTGCCGGTGAAGTGTACAAGATAGTACAGTGGGCTGGCGGCGGATCCCGCGTGGCAGATATATGGCGGGCAGCGGGCGATGAACCCGTCCGTGCGCTCGCGCTGTCAAGGCTAACCCATGCCCTTTATCTGGCGACTGACAACAGATTACGACAGCTGCCTTTGCATGCCTGCGCCCATCGGTGAGTTTTATAAACTCCAAATACTTGTAGACAAATACACTAATATTATAAAGCTGAAGAGTTCGTTTCGACGCGCTAAACTAAGAGAAAATACAGGTTCGAACCTATTTTTTTTTTTCAAGGAAGGCTTATGAGGAAGGCTGTAAAGCATCACGCTGCAATCAATAGGAGCTAATAGAGGGAAATGTGAAAAAAAACGTGGAAATTTATTAATCTTTGAGGAAACATGTCACGTTCGCTGCGAAAACGGTTCAAGACGCAAAAAATAATTATTTTTTTCTTAAATAATGTAAAAAAATGTCGGCCGCAGTAAATGTCTATCTTTTAAGATAAACTTACAAGAATCGTTTTAGGTTATTGTTTAGACAAAATACTACGTATGGCTAAAGCGTTTTTCAGAAATTTACGTGCAACTGTGTAACTTCCGCACTGAACAGAAACAAACCGAAATTACTATTTAAAATATCATTAATGTAACTTAATATATCTATTTAATTATGTATGATTTAGTAGATTATATATAGCAAAATAATGTCAAATTCCTTGTTAATGCACTTATCTAAAATTACACGAGAAACTTTTCTTTTGTTGAATAGAAGCAAGAGATGATGTTTTTACTACTCCACCTTACTTTATTGAGACCACAAAATTAAATAATTGTATTAGGAACGTAAACTAAAATAAATTATAGTTCATTGTTATTTTTAAATGGTCTTCAGTTCAACAATTTTCACACAATACACAGCCTATTCTCGGAATACGTGACTACACACTCAAAAGTAAATAACGGTGTACGATGAATCATTGTTTTCATGTTCCAATGACTAAAGTGCACTGCATAACGACCTCTAAAAGCTTTCCTTATTTAACTGTGTTTGTTCGTTTGTTCCTCCGAAATAATTTTACTTAGTTATATACTGGTAGTGTGTAAATTTAACAAGTAGTTCCATCCGTAAAAAAACAACTTTATGACAATTAACAGACAAGCATGAGAGTTCCTTGATGATGCAAGTAGTCCAGCCCTACAAATCTATTTTTGCTTTGGATATTTAAACCTGCTAGTGATCAACCAAGGTTAAAGATAAAACATTCGACTTCCGGTTTTAATTAGTAAAAACGTCTCCCGAAGTTTCAGCTTAAAAATGCTTTCCCTGTTGTATGTCAATGTTTATTATAGCGTGTAAGTATTAATATAAAACGTACATATAAAATATGCTCAGATATATAAATAATAAGAATTTTGGTGACCTCTTAATTGAAAAATGTATTAGTAAATGTAAACTCGATGACACACACGAGACTTGAACCCATAAATAACAGTGCATAAATGGTCTACCGACTACTACGTTTCTGTATATTTCAATTATAAAATACTTATCTATAATAATATCATAAAACTGAAGAGGTTCAGGATCTCAGGAACAATTATTTTCGATTCGAATTGAAAAACTTTTTTAGATATTTCAAATTTGAGTTGTTTTTAGCAGTTAGTGAAAAAGGCTATAGGCTATACAACATCAGGCTGCGATTAATAGGAGCAAAGAACTAGTGGAAAAAAAACGGTGAAAATTTTTTAATATAATCTTTGAGAGTTCCCGATGCGAGCGCTGCGAAAACGGTTCAGGATATCCAAAAATATGTATCAAAGAATAAATCCTCTTTTAATCATGTATAATTAACTTGTAAGAAGGACGAGAAGCGAACCGATATATTATATTAATTGTTATTAGGAGGAAATTTTTATGCCCAAAATAACTATCCTACGCGGACGATGTCGATGGCACAGCTAGTTAAGTATGTTTATTCTCTTATTTCATTACAGTTACGACAGCTGTGTGCGGTGCGTACTAGATCCGTATTGTGGTTGGGACAAGGAAGTTGGAGCTTGTCGTCCTTACACCCCGGGGCTGCTTCACGATGCCACTAATTCAACGCCATCTATTTGTGAAGCCAGTGCTCCATTGAAGACAGTGAGGGCCGGGTATGGACAAAGCGTTCATCTGGCTGCCTTCGCGAAGACTCCTCAAGCATTGAGCGATCAGAATGTTGCTTGGTATCATCATTCCAGGGAAAGAGGAAGATACAAGATCAGTTATAAGTAAGTACCTGGATAAAAAGGGTCCTTGAAACCTAAATAGACAACCTCATGGATACTGTCTATAGTTTACGCGAGTAGTACACATTTAAATAAAACACTTTAACGGTTTAAAACGATATATTAGTTAAACTTATTTGAAAATGATTTTTAACTTCGGTGGTGACCACAGCTGCTGCAAAGCATCCGAAACGTCGGGCCGAAGTTAAAAATCATTTTCAAATAAGTTTAACTAATATATCGCTTTTAAACCGTTAAAGTGTTTTATTTAAACCTCATGGATTATAATAAAACAAAATCTTTAAATTTAGAACATTAACTTTAAATTGTCGAACTCTTTTTTTAATTAACTTAGTTAATTGTACTTTTGGAGGTTAGTTAATTTACGACCTGGCGCCACTAAACAATTTATTGCGTTTCAAACCGTAAAGGTTTTAAAGTTTTTAAACTTGTTCACTACAAATACTTCGATTTATCTCTTAAATCCCAATCTGCTATGTACAGTACTTAATCCTCCCACAGTCCACCGTCTACTTAACCACTACCGTCACTAAATAAGTGATGATCGAAGGTAAGGTGGTGATGACTCTTAATTGTTCATGCACAGCTAACAGTAAAATGGAACCGCCAAGATCATGGTCTATCAAGAGGACTAACCACCAGATCAACGAGGAAATTGGAAGACATAATTTCAAATATCTAAACAAAGTAAACTGCAAAAGGCAAATGTGTAAAATCGACGATGTAATTTCAATCCTGGAAACGTGTTACAAATGTTTGTAAATTCAACTTAAACTTGTATCTAAATTTGTGTAAAACGATGAAAATTGGATTAGCTCGTGGCAACATTGAGAGTGTTGAAATCGTTTCAGTTTCGAGCGAGTTCTGCTAACTTCGGAGCGGGGGCTGGTGTTGCTAGCTGTTACGGAATCAGACCGGGGTCGGTACGAGTGCTACTTCGGGCCCACACTCGTAGCTTCCTACAATTTAGATATCGATATTCACAGGTAATTGATAAGTACTACTTGGCGAAGTATTCCCGGAAGATCAATAAAATAAGGGGGGGGGGGGCCGAAAAAAACAGCTTGCCATTCCAATAAACAGGCCGTGAGCTGCTCATGGTAAAGATTGAAAAAAAAATATAATCCTTCTTGTACAGTAGCACTAAAAATTATAAGTATTAAAAAAATTGCTTTATATTAAAAAAAATGTTGTTAAAAACTCAAAAAAAAAAACTTTTTTATAATTGCCACGGAGCCGGGGATTTTTCAATAACAATGAAGCTTTTAAATAATTACCTTGATAAATTTATAACAACAGAATATAAACTAAATAGCGAACAAGTTAAAAATGTATACTTTACTAGTTAAGTATTTTTAACTACCTGATGTTTTCTTTGCCAGCTATAGTCACTGGGCATAGTTAAAATAAATGAAATGATAAATTTCGAATGTATCTTAATATAAATAAGTTTAATCGTCGTGTTAAAATAAAAGTGTGAATGCAAAAATATATCCTGGTACTGTTAATACCTATATAAATATAAAAATATGATGATTATAAAATATCGCGCTAATAAATTTTTGTTCAATTTAATTACCTTTTACACAGATGTACGCAGCCGAATAAATCACAGGAATACAGACAAGTGTACTCTGACTGGTGTCATGAGTTTGAGAAGTATAAGAGTGCCATGAAAGCTTGGGAGTCCCGGCAAATGGTAAGTGATAAAACTTATTCTTCACTTAAAACTAACTAAGTAAGTATGTATGCTAAATCTAAGTTGCGTTCTTGATCATAAATTCAGTAAGCACACATTTTATTTACACTTAAAAACATAATATCGCTATTAAAAATAACATATATGCACTATAGTTCAAGAGTATATTTATATATCAAAAGATGTTTTAAGTATAGTAGAATGCTTGAAACTCCATTATTATTTTTTTTATTTGATTTTATCATCAAATTATTTTTAGATTGATGAAATAATATCAATGAAGGGACTCGAACCCAAAACTATACAATGGCTCGATCAATGATCAATTATTTTTTATGCATGCACCGCTGGAGCATTTATTTTGGCGTTTATTCAAGCAGCATTTAATTGAGATTTGTTTTCAGCAATGCTCGAAAAATATGAATACATCAAATCAACAGAACAACTTGAGCAACGAGATTGTAGCTTCACTACGGTGATACGATAATAAGGAACGCTTTGCCGAAAACAAATTACTTGCAACATAGCTATAAGACATATATATTCGACTCTATATTACGAGAAGCATATATAGATAGCCAATATAATAGTTAAAAGATCGTCAAGTTTAAATTAATTTGTTTTGGAAGATTGTTCGTTTCCGTGTTTGTTTTGTAAATCCATTTGAAAATACCAACCCCATTTCTTCGAAATGTCAATGAGAAAATAATTGACAGAAATAAATACGTTTTGGATGGATGACTCGAAATTTATTAGCTTACGGTTGTGAAATGACTGGGGGAACATAATTCGGTGAGGGAATGATCTGCTAAAATACATTTGTCGGCCGTTCCACAGACTGGCTATGATAGATTACATATTTGTCTGGCTTTGGTTATAACGAAATATTAACAGAATCGCTGTATAAATCTTGTACAAACATCGATTCATAGTCATTTATTTACCGGAAACAGTGGGGTGTAACAGTATCTGAATTTAATCTATTTAAATAAAACACTTTTATCGGTTTTAAACGCAACTCTGAAAAATAAATATTGGCGTTTTAAATTGTAAAAGTGTTTTATCTACTCACATAAACATTTTCATCTTTAAGTGTTTCATATGTTTTGTTTTCAACTTTAATAATACATAATTTAAGGGCATATTGAGAACGTCTCTACTTAATTTTGACATAAGCCTAATGGTTATAATGTAAATAGTATTTAAACGATGGTGTTCGCCACTAAAACGCTGTGATATGAGTTTGCATATTTGTATTCAGGTATTACGTTATTTGTTTTCAAAATGAACATTATATTGATATAATACATTTTATCAAGGTTTGGAATAAGTCAAACTCTTTGCAACCATAGGAACAATTGTACAATTATTAGCACCTCTACAGTTAGCAAATGTTTTCACTAAAATACAGAACGAGTTGGTAAGTAGTTTATGTTGGGTGTTTGTTATGTTCGTCAATATTCAATTTCTGGGATAATGAATATATAAGCAACAAAAATTTAATAGTGCAAACATGAAATACTTAGTATCACGTGTTTAATAACCTTAATATTCAAATGAAGTATTTTCATTGTTTCGTAATGATTTCTAACGCATTAATTGTTATTATTAAAATCTATACAATATTGAGTGAACGAGAACGAAATTCGAAAGGAGAAGTAATATGTGTTAGAAATTTAGCAATAACATATATGTTATAGAATATATTTTTATAACATATACGTTATTGCTAAAATATATTTTGTTATCTTGGTTATCTATGATAATTACGAACCTTGATTATATGTAACAGACCAAGAAAGTACCTTTCAATACAAATAGGTATGCTACGTGAGTAAATAAAGTTATTAAATCAATTCAAGAAAGTTAGAAGTTTGCGTCCGAAAATCTAATTAAGCGCAGAGAAATAAAAATAAAATGCCAATTTATCTTAAGATAATATAATCTCTGAAGCTTATTTATAGTAACGATTGCTTAGTAGCAGCATTTATTATGTAATAGGATTTACTAACTATGTTTATTGTTAAGCCCTAATTAAACTAGGATAGTCCAGATTGGCGTGCAAAATTTGTAGTTTATTATTTCGAATTTTTACTTCGTTAATACTTTGTCGTAATTTTAGGACCCTTTCGGAGATAAACCGAATTTAGTAGATGTTGTTTTTTTATTGATTTAGTATTGATAATCTCGCTAGTATAGTGCCTTGAAGCATGCTTATTAGTGTAAGTATTGTAAGCGATGGTTTAAGTAAGGTAAATGAAGCAATAAATTTTCAGTGAGCGAATAAATTCCAGTATTAAAGTTATTTGATTAACAGTAATTGTATGATAAATAATAAAAAAATTGTATAGTCTGGCTTTGGGATAATAAATCGTTGCTATTGTATAAATTATAATGTTATTACACATCAATATGGAAGTATTCTGTGTATTAGATTGATTGATGAAAGAATATAAGTATAACACAGAAATTTGCCTGTTCTGAATGAAATTCTTTGTTTTGTTGCACGTATTAGTGTATATATAGTAACTAACATTTTCAAACGTCATTTAAGAGTTTTCTCAAGAACGTAATTAAGATGTTAATTAATCGACAGAAGAGTACCCTAGAATTAAATCACTTAAAACCGAAATAAGCCAAACATTCGCGAAAAAGCAGAGCTATTTATTTCTTCTTTAATTTGATGTATTATTAGAAGATCACGTTTAGTAACGATTGTGGTATATAACATATAGATTGTTACACGTTTTCCTATAAAAGAATATTAAAGTTATTGTAAATTGTAAATAAATTAAATTCTTACAGAATATTGCTAAAATATGTAGTTAAATACCAATGTTTATTGTAAAAATGTTGTAAGTTAGGTCATAAGCTATTGTTTTATAAAAAGAGCGCAAATAAAATAAATTATTTTAGAATGCTACGGAATTTCATTGAAAAAGCTTTTAACATTATTAAATCCTTCGAGAATTATGTCAATTGTCAATTTATTTATTACATATTCATTTTTTCTTTCGTGTGTTTCCACTATATACATCCAATGGATTTAATTAAAACCCATTTCGAATCCACACATGACTGTATAAGCTGGGTAATATTCTAGCAACCTGCTGCACAAAATGCACATTGTTTTAGCTCTGTTAAGTTTTAGTATAAATACTAAGATGTGGTAGATAGTAAAATCTTTCCTCCTTCTTTAAGAATTGTGAACTGCCTTTTATATTACGCCACGTAAAAGACGAGTGATAAAACAAAGGTTGAAATAAAAGCATTTACAAGTTAATTGTTAGGTGATAAAAACAAAATGAATTCGAGAACTCGATCGTCACTGAGGTTTTATTCACTTATATCTTTTTACGGGTAATGAAAGCGTAATTTCAGTATCGTAAACGGCGTCTGTCTTAGATTGGTGAACATCATAGAATTTAATTACTGAGGGAGACTGGAATAATTGGCGACGCGCTGTAATGGCCAAGCTTAACTGCCAAATTAATAGATTTTCAGTCTCCGCAGAACCTCATTTTATTATTAATTACTGACCTAATATTCGATTTCCCGTTTTCGTTTTATAATTGAAATGTCCCTGAATCATAATTGGATACTTAGAAAATGTTATCGCGTTCATTGTTTTGTTTGAGATATCAAAATACACCATTGAACCAATTGATTTGAGCCTCATTTAATGGAAAGGTATTTTAGAAATATTGAGAAACTAGACTTCGTCCGCGTATAATAGTGGTAAGGCCTAACATCAAAATTTGTTTTTGCAAACTTCCTCTTTATCTTTATAGATTCAAATTGTTGTCCACGACGTTTGTTGCGTCCCGTCGATCTTGCAAGTTGATTAGCTTTCTTTCCATTTCCTTTAAATTTTAAAAGATAGACATATGTCTATCTTATAGAGTATATATTCTCTTAGACTTTATAACATTTAAAGAAGAAAATTCTTTTATTTATACTTTTTTTGGGTATCTTAAACCGTTTTTGTAGAAGTCGCAACGGAAACCCACATAGATGAATAATTTCACCAGATGTCTCCACATTTCCCGCTGTTTCTTCGCTCCTAATTGTCGTAACAAGATATTTCATATATATAGCCTAGGCATCGCCTTCCGCGATAAATATTCTAACCAACACAAAAATAAAATTTCCTGAGATTAGCGCGTTCAAACAAACAATCGATCTCTTCAGCATTATATATTAGTATAGATTATATACAATGTTCAAGTTTCTATTATTATACATATACAACATGTAGGTACATTTAAATCACTATGTGTGTGATAAAGTAAAAAGGGTTTCAAAAATCGTTATTTTAATTAATTGTAGCTTAAAATTAAGAAGTTGTTCCTCCAAAATGCAGTTCTTATAAAGTTATGCACGAGCTGTGCACTGTTCCTTGAAAGTTAGCTGTCGTGGGCTCAAGCTGATTTCAATTATATATTTTAGACGTTTCTTATTACGTTTTGGCATGCGCAAGTTCAAACTGCGATATTCAAAGGATGGCGTGTATAAGTTATAATATCTATCTTTATTATTTCAATAGTAGCTTCTAGAAATCCATTAAGTCAGAACAAGTCTTGATACTTTGTTAAAGCGAGTATTTAGCACTGTTTGTATGTTGACGGGTCATCAGTTTGGTTTTAATTCAATCTGTAATAGATAAAAAAGCTGTAGGGTTTTAATTGTTATTTCACTTTCAGACTGCATACATATGTCCAAAAATTGGGCCAACAACTGGGCGTATTTGGTGGTTTTATTTTTCACTATGGCTAAAAATACAAATAGCATACTCTACAAGATTCAGCTGGAGACTGGTCAAGAAGTAGCAGCAATTGGTTCACGGAAATCTCGTAAGTGCAAAGCACACGTTTCAGTGTCAGAGTATTCATTTCTGAACGTCCAGAGGAAAACAATAGGTTTACAGAGCTTTTACTTGGATTTCGTATTCCTTTCCGATTTCATCCCGTGAATTCGGTGCTGCCGAATATTCCAGATATTTTGGGAACAAAAGAAGATATTTGTGTTTTCTAGGAAAGGGCAAGGATCCTCTTCTTCCTCAATGTAAGTATTTTTTTACTTCTACTTATATTATAAATACACAATTCGATTATTTGGTAATTTTTACCCTTCCCTTAGGGCTCAACTAAACAACTAATTAACATGATTTTTGTTATAAAGTTAATAAGTATTAGCACATAAATGTGAGAGTACGCCGATAATAAAAAACTTTAATTATATTAATATATATAAATATTTTTTTTTAATAAGAATATGGTTGAAGGATGAAAATAACAGGTAGGGATATTAAAGAATGGTTAATTTTTCTCTTAATTATGTTTTACCTTATTCACTTCTTTAGACCTCCCTAGCATGTGACGGTAACATCGCTTGCATTGTAGTGCGCGAGAGACCCTGCATTCGAATCCTTGTAAATCGTAAAAGTTTCGACCGAACTGGCCAAATACTTGCCTGCACA